TATGGAAAGCAAGGCCAGGACCAGGGTGAGGCAAGGGAAGCACAAAATTTAAGGAGATTCTCACTGTCAGGTACTGACCCTGCACTTATTCTGAGAGTGAGTACTTTCTTAAAATAAGTACTGACCCACATAAGCTTCAGGGACCTGTATGGTTCATTTTCTGTATGAACTTGGCTGGGCTATGGTGCCCAGTTATTGACTCAAATACCAGCCTAAGTAGTGCTGTCAAGGTATTTTTTTTCTTTTTCTATGATTAACATTTAAATCAGTTGACTTTGAGTAGAGCAGAGTACCCTCTATAATGTGGGTCCACCTCATCCTGTAAGTTGAAGAACTTAAAGGAAAAGAGTAAGGTCTCCCAAAAAATAATGAATTCTCCCTCCACATAACTTAAGACTGAGAACTACAACATCATCTTTCCCCTGAGTCTTCAGCCTGCCACCTGCTCAGCAAATTTCAGACGTACCAGCCCCCACAACTACGTGAGCCAAATTCTCTAAAATAATTCTAGATAGATAGGTAGACAGGTAGGTAGTTAGGCAGGAGGATAGGTAGAAATATAAATGCTGTATATAGATAAAAATATATTTTCTATTGTTTCTTTAGAAAACATGGCTGACACAAGACCTTAAAATCACTATCATCTAAGTAATTAAAAGCAGGCATCTAACAGCTCCCCCTGATAAAAGAACCCAGTGTAGTGGGAGGTGAACCCCACAATGCTGAATGCAGCTCTAAAGACGAACTGCCAACATTCAATCCTAGCTCAGCTGCTGGCTATATTATGTGACCTTGGGAAACTTTCTTTTTAAATTTTCCTATTGATACATAATAATTGTACATATTAATGGGGTACATGTGACATTTGGCATATGCCTTCAACGTGTAATGATCAAAGCATAATTACAATATTCATCACCTCAAACATTTGTCATTTCTTTGTGTTGAGAATGTTTCAGATCTTCTCTTCTAGCTATTTTGAATATAGGATTAATTTTTGTTAACTATAGTCACACTACTGTAAATGGAGGAAAGCCATCTCTCTTACAGCTGTGCATTCAACCCTCTGCAATAATAGTTACAATGATGCAACAAAATAATGATGGATTGGGAAACAGTAACAATTCCCATTCCTTTTCAACCCTCTCAGCTTCATCACAGAACAAAAAAATCCATGGCACTGATTTTTATTGCCAAGCCAAAACACAATTTTATTAGTGGATAAGGCAGCCTGCAGAAGACCTTGTGTCTCCAGGCCACTGGGCTAAGAGCAGATTTCTCAATCTCTTAATTTCCTTTTATATACAAGGGAGGTTCAGTTCAAATTTGCTTTCTATTCTCCTTCTCCTCCTCTTTCTCCTCCTTCTCCTTTTTCTCCTCCTCCTCCTTTTCCTCCTCCTCCTTCTCCTCCTCCTCCTTCTCCTCCTCCTCCTTCTCCTCCTCCTCCTCTTTCTCCTCCTTCTCCTTTTTCTTCTTCTCCTCCTCCTCCTTCTCCTCTTCCTCCTCCTCTTTCTCCTCCTCCTTTTCCTCCTCCTCCTTCTCCTCCTCCACCTCATTCTCCTTCTCCTGCTCCTCCTCCTTCTTCTTCGTATTCTTTTCTCTCTCTCTCTCTTGCTCTCTCTCTCTCTCCATTGTCACTTTAAATACTACTTCCTGGCCTTTTCTCTCCTTAAGACTTGCTTATATGACCCTCACACTCTATTATTACCAACAATTGATATTTATTGGTGTAAAATGATGATAGGTTGTATATAGAGTAGAGTAATTCCAGAAACAGCCTTCCTTCCATCAAATCCTAATTCTCCCTCCATCAAATCTGCTCTTCTCATATGCTGAGTCATATTCTAGTGATATAGTGACACTATTAATAATCTCTTACATTTATATAGCTCAGGAAGTCAGAGAGCCAAGGTTAGAGAAGTTTGAAAGGTCATATAATCCGGAAACTGTGCTACTCTCTATATACAATTCCACTTTTATCTGTGATAAGATTGCAAACTTCTGGGCTGCAAGAGAAATCCAGACATCAGATCAAGATTTTAAAACCCAAGTTTTAAAAATCAATAAACTTTCTATTGTTTTAATTCATTTCCAAATTTCTCTTGAAAAAAATACAGATTTCTTGCAACACATGGCAACACTTGGTTAGAGCTGAGAGGTCATTTCATTGCTCCATGGAGCAGGATGCTCTCTTCCCTGTTGAATTACCCTTAGTTCAGAACACTCATCTGCTGGGCTCCTGATGTTTGAATCTTCCCCAACAGTCCCCAAGAAACCGTACATCTACGCTTGAGCACTCCCAGGGAAAGAGAACTCACCATCTCCAAAGACAACCCATTCACCCTTTGAACAGTTCCTTCCAGACCTCTTCCTTAAACTCTAAAAGCCAAGGCATCCATCTCCTTAACACTAAACAAAGGAAGAGATTTCCTCACTGAGTTTTCTCCAAAGTGAGCATCCGCAGTGCCTCCTCTAATTTGGTTTCTGGTTCCTTTGCCACCTTGGTTTTCATTTTCTGGGCTTGCTTCAGTCTTTTTCTATTTTTTTTTTTAGAGGATAAAATCCAGAAATAAAGGTTTTTTTTCTGCTAGATTCAGCTCATCCCTCTATCTTCTAGAATTTTATCATATACTAATTAAAGAAGAGCTTACTAAGTGCCTACCAGGTGGCAGGCTCTGTGCCAGGTACCAGCATCACTTTGGCAAGCAGCACAAGCTAAGTGCCTGCACTCCTGGAGCTCGGATTCCAGAGGGAGACATGTTGCCCAGCAATCTCCCAGAGAAATAGAAAGTTGCACTGTCATGTGTGCAAAATAAATTCAGGATGAATCAAAGATGTGAGATATAAACAATGAAATTATAGTAAATCTTTCTTTTAAAAAAAGGTAAATAATTTGTTTATCTTGGAGAAAAGAGCTTTCTAATATCAATAGAAACCCTAGAAGCTATAAAAGAAAAAAAATTAATAAATCTAACTACATCAAATTTTAACATTTTTGGAGGCTAAAAGCACCATAAATAAACTCAAAAGGCAAATTCATAAACATATTTGCAAAGCAAATGACAGACAAAGAACTGGTTTTTCTAATGTACTGTAGGGCACCAGCCCCACACCCCACCCATGGGTACCCTGAGTTTGATGGCAAAAAACGAATGAGAAAAAGACATATTGAGAGAGAGAGAGGGACCACAGGACCATTTCTTTTTACTGAACGCCCCGAGCTTCGGTTTTTATTATATTTATTAAGCACAATTACTATTACTATAGTGCAGGTGGCAGGGTAAATTGGTAAAGGAAGGCTGTGCATTAAACATAAAATTACTAACAGTGGCAGTTTACGTAAGTTTTTATTTACAAACATTTACAAACTAAAAGTGTATGCTTATTAATAAACAGTGCAGCTAGTAAAAGCGAGTTTTACAAAAAACCTACAAGTTTGGTTACTTTATAATGCTACATAAGGAGCCTTAAGCCCTTAAGCATGTTATGTACTGTAACAAAGTTAAAGTTACTTTGCACCCAAAACAAAAAGGCTCGAAAAAGTTTGCCTCCCCAAAGGCCTAACACAGTTTGGCTCAGTTTACTGTTCCCAGTACTTGCAGCCATTTTATGTAGGCATCGTGTAAGCCCTTCCTCCACTGCCATTTCCCCACCAACGTACAAGTTACTCTTACAAATTAATCAACAAAGCACATAAGAAATTTACAAAAGAAATATAAATGATGCAAACAAACGAGGTGATTCTGAACCTCATTAATAATCAAAGAAATAAATATTAAAATAATGGGATACTTTCCAAGCAAATACTGGCCATGATATTTTAAAAAGCGTGCTGTCAGCGTATAGGGGATCCAGCATTCTCACTCACTGCACATAGTAACAGCCCTTCTGGAGGGAATTCTGTGATTCCCTTATTTTAAATGTCGTGAATTTCATAAATATATAAAAATATTATCTGTGAATTATGAATAACTCTTTAAAAATAAAATAAATGTTCTGATTCTGCCATTTTATTTGTTCCTATTCTTTATCCTCTCATCCCACCCATCCCTGAGTCACATCATGGCTTCCAGAACTAGCTCCCACCTGCATCTCCCTGGGTCCTCATACTAATCCTCTTGTAATATCAATCACAAATTGAGTAGAATTATTTGGCTCCTGATGTTTGGCTTGTAGAATCACTACTCAATCTGTAATTTCTGGAACTCAGTACTGCTGTTCTCCTGGCCTGTGAGGATTTCCCCATAGCCTGTCAGAGCTCCTGGGAAATGCATCAGTGGTCTGGTTAACTCAGTAGTCTCTATGTCAAGGTTCCTAATTAAGATCTAAACTGTCCTGGAGTCTTTCTTCCCCAATTCCCTTATCTACAGTATTATAACTGGAAAAGAAATGTAAGCACCCAGAGCAACAACAGAGACTGAGTAACTTCCGGTCCAAGGCAGTTACTATTATGCCTGGGGTAATCCTGTGTGCAAGGTTAACAAGTTGGGGGCTGAAAACTAAGACATAAATTCAGTGGCTTTATCATCTAGAAATGTCTTTTCTCAATAAGGACTGGTTGTGTACACATGGTTGTAATGAGCTAATACCCCCTAGCCCTGTGTTCCCCCAGCATTTTTAGCTTACAGTCATCCAACAGTGGCACTCTAACGTCTGTGCAGTCCCACAAGCTTTCAACAGAAGAGTTTCACTTTATGTTGTTTGTATTATGAAACAAGAGTCATGCCGAAGACAGTTTTTCAAACTGTCATTCACTCTTCTACAGATTTGGATTTGCCTTCCCTGAGGAAAATCCCCTTCCCTGGGTAAACTATGGAAGCAAATGATGCAGTACCCCCTTCTCAAAAGCAACATGAAGATACAGTTGCTACTTAACTGTGGTACTGGAACAGGGCACCTGGGGTCATTTAACTATCCCAGGCTTAATTTGCCCTACTGGTAAAAAGGAACCAACAATAGATGAGAAGGAAGAAGGGTGGGCCTGAAAATGAGTTTGAGAGCTCTTTTCTCTTAATCCTGAGCCTTTTTTTTTTTTTTTTTTTTTTTTTACGGTATCTCCTCTCATTGTATTAAGGATCTCAGTAAAAGTTGAGTGCCTCTTCTCAACAAACCGGATATCCACACACAAAAGAATAAAGTTGGGTCCTTAACTTTCATCTAGTATACCCCTACATATATGAACTCAAAATGGATAAAATACCTAAACATAAAGGCTAAAATGGCAAAACTCTTAGGATGAAACATAGAGGAAAAGCTTCATCACATTGGATGTGGCAATGATTTTTTAGGTATGATATCAAAAGCACATCTTGTCCCACTAGAAGGACATCAGGGGCGAATACATGCGTGGAGCTGTCATCTCCTATGGTGACAATGCCTTCTTCTGGAATACCTCCTGAAGGACCTGCATGAGGCTGTTTTAAGAGTTAACCTGCTTTTTGTGATTAGAAGGAGTACACTCTAAAATAACAACAAAATAGTATAGTGACTACGTAAACGAGTAACATAGTCTTATTATCATTATTAAGTATTATATACTGTACATAATAGTATGTTTCTATATGGCTGACAGTACAGTAGGTTTGTTAACACCAGCATCACCCCAAACATCTGAGTCATCTGTTGTCCTGTGATGTTAGGATGCTTATCATGGTCATAGGTGATGGAAATTTTCAGCTCCATGATAACCTCATGGAACCACCATTGAGATGTGATCCATCATTGATTGAAATATCCTTATGTGGTGCATGACTATATATAAAAAACTCATGCAACTCAACAATAAAAAAACAAACAACTCGGCCAGGCACGGTGGCTCAAGCCTGTAATCCCAGCACTTTGGGAGGCCGAGGCGTGTGGATCACGAGGTCAACAGATCGAGACCATCCTGGTCAACATGGTGAAACCCCGTCTCTACTAAAAATTACAAAAAATTAGCTGGGCACAGTGGCGCGTGCCTGTAATCCCAGCTACTCAGGAGGCTGAGGCAGGAGAATTGCCTGAACCCAGGGGGCGGAGGTTGCAGTGAGCCGAGATTGCACCATTGCACCCCAGCCTGGGTAACAAGAGCGAAACTCCATCTCAAAAAAAAAAAAAAAACTCAATTTATTTTTATTTTTTGTAGAGGCAGGGTCTCACCATGTTGCCCAGTGGTTGGGGAGGCCAAGGTAGGAGGATAGCTTGAGACCAGGGGTTCTCCCCAAACACTGGGATTATAGCAGTGAGCTGTCACACCAGGCCCAAACAACCCAATTTAAATATGAGTAAAGAACTTGAATAGATACTTCTCCAAGAAAATATATAAATTGCAAATAAGACAATAAGAAGATGAAAAGATGTTCAACATCACTAGTCATTAGGTAATGCAATTCAAAACCACAGTGAAATACCACTTCATACCCATTAGAATAGCAATTACCAAAAAAATGGAAAATAAGTGTTGAGCATGTGAAAATCTTAGAACCCTTATATATTGCCAGTAGGAATGTAAAACGGTACAGCTGCTGTGAAAAACAGTAGGTGGTTCCTCAAAAAGTTAAGCAGAGATGTACCATATGAGCCAACAATTCCACTTTTAAGTAGTATATACTATGCAAAAGAATAGAAAACAGGAGTTTAGACAAATCTTTGTTCACCCACGTTTATAGCAACATTATTCACAGTAGCCGAAAGGTAGAAACAACCCAAGGGTCCACCAACAGATAAATGGATAAAATGTGGTATATCCATGCAATAGACTATTATTGATCTATAAAAAGCAATGGAGTTCTATACATGCTATAAAATGCATGAACCTTGAGAACATTATGCTAAATGAAAGAAGACTAGACACAGAAAGATAAGTATTATATGATCCCACTTTTACAAAGTACTTAGAAGCAGCAAATCCATAGAAACAGAACTAGAATGGTGATTGCCAGGAGTAGGGGGACAGGGAAATGGGGAGTGATTTAATGGGAATAGAGTTTCAGTTTGGGATGATGAAAAAGTTCTGCAGAGGGATCATGGTGATGGTTGTAAGATGATATGAATGCACTTAATGCCATCATATTCAACCACCTAAGTTTCAATATTATGTGTACCAAAAACAACTTTTAAACAATTAAAGGGAATATTTTTAAGTTCGTTAAGTGCCATCTATGTGCCAAGTACTAAGGTACACACAGGAATACAGTGAGGAGCAACGTCCCTGCCCGTGCACAGTGCCCAGCCTATACTAGCTCCTCAATAAAGAGCTAATGTAGTGAATTAATGAATAAAATGTTTTAGGCTCTGTCTATATATAAAACAACAGATGTCGACAGGCTATTTTTACAATACTTTTTTCAGGGGTTTTAATCCCCAAAGAAGCAAATTTAGTAAAGGGTAGAATTAGAAACAGTGTAGATATTCATTCCGTTACAAGCTCAACAGCGCTTTTTTTGCTGCTGTTGCTGTCATTTTTTATTTTTGTGTTTCACTATTATGTTTTAAATAAGGACAAAGATGTTGAAAAAAAGAAAAAGACACAATGTTCTTTTCAACTATTTTCAGAAAACCTCATAATTTTTGAAGAAGAGATGAGTGGAAATAGCTGAGAGTTTCTTTCCCAATAGGACTAAAAGGATGAATTGTATAATGTCCGTGAAGCATCTTGATCTCCACAAGCAACTTCGTGGATTCACTACAGGGAAGCAGACAGCCTACTTTCTTTTCAACTTCTGTCGGCTCTCCCCAATTTCTCAGGTGATTTATCCTCCCCACATTCTCTAAGTAAGATTCAGAAGAAAATTTAGTTTGAGGTTTGAATTCAGCATCAGGCGAAATGAGATTCAAAAACCAGAGCTGCTAACCTTCTTTGAACTCATCACCAGTAAAAACCTTCAAACCAAAATGCTTTGTTTCTTTTTTGCCCTTTAGCCCACAGCCACCAAAAAAGCATGGGAGATCCACGGGGATGGTGTCACGGGGGCTTGGGCAGCTCTGTTCTTGTGGTCATTTGCACGTGGCTTTGATGGCATTCTCCCTTCCCTGTAGCTTAGACAAATAGAACTGGAGCAAGGAGAAAAAAAATCTGATAAGTATTTCTATGTGTCTGGAATTGATCTTCATGACAAAAGAAAAATTGTGTGTGGTTGTTTTTGCTCTTATCTGAAGCACTGTGGCTCCCCCAGACAAAATGCATTCCCATACGCAAAAAGTAAATATATACATACATGCTTCTGCCAAAGGCCCTAGATGATGTGTTGCATGGTTTATGCTCCATCATTCTACCCTAGTCCCATGCCCTTATGCTGATAATCTAGTTGATTTGTCTTTGTCCCTACACTCAATCAACTTAATGCATGTGAAAAATACAAATCCATAATTAAAGTTTTGGTGTTGCTCTAAGTGATCAAGAACATAGTACTTTGGCCTTTGGTGAACTGATTTTAATGGGTCAGTTCAGAGTTTGAGGGTCTGCTTTTTTTCATCTTTCCAATATCACTGTCGGTAAATTGAGGCCAAAGTATTATAGCTAAAAATGTATAATTCCAAAGCCTAGTTCCCAAAAGAAATACACTTAGAAGTGAGAGGGTAAAAAAGAAAACAACACCAGAATTCCTGACTGAATTCTATTTCTAAAACAGTATGTGTAGAGTCTATTTTAAGGATGAGACTTTTTTATTTTAAGAATGAAATCTTTAAATGAAATAAGTGAAAAGTCAGCACAGAATCTGACACAAATTAGGAAATTTATGTATGTTTTTATTCATTTATTAATATATGTAATTAGCAATACTACATATGCCATTCTCCAGTGGTTTTTACATTAATCAGAAGATAATTCCCTAAAACACACTAAAACTTCATTTTATTTTTATCCATTTGGTGCATATATGAGGCAATTGTATAAACATAAAATACTGCAGATATATCAAAGATCACTCATTTATAGGCAGAATTGGTTGCCACCCACAAAGTAGAAATTGGTAGGGGTATGAGGTTGTTCCTGCCACTATCAAAATAGCAAACCCACTGTCTAGCATTTTGCTGATTTCTTTGTTTTTACATTTGAAGGCTTTCCCTGCCTTTAAGCACAGAAGAAGCCCTGTAAGGGATGGTTTTTCTTAAGCTCATTAACTCAGTCTTGCATAGAGTAGGACGTTAATGAAAACATGCTGACCCCTTAAGGAGTAGTTGATGATCATTTGGATGAAGGGACAGTTAGTGTCTACCTGTGTCTACCTCTGTCTACCTGAGAAAGGTCAGTTTATGGAAGGAAAAGTGCACCAATGAAAAGGTGGGCATTACCAAAAACATATTTCCCTAATTTTGCCACTTGGCCAAGAATCAGTCCTAAACCAACATCAAAGTCATGCACCTGCTATCCTTCTCTAACATAACAAGCATACACTATAGCATGGAAATCAAAGGCCATGCACTGGGATGCACCCAGTGTTATTTAACAGACAAAGTGGTTCTATTTCCCTCTGTCTCTGCCACCAACAGCCTCCTTTCCACCCATCGCACTGCAGCCAAAGAAATCTTTTAAAAATTCATATCTGACCATTTCACACTCTACTTTTGAAATAAAGTCCACAAGTCCCTAAGCAAATCTGCAAGGCTCTGTGACCCAATTTCTCTGGAATTCACCAATTGCATCTCACACTAAGCCCTGCTCCCTCATGCTACAGCCAACCTCAGTTCCTCAGGGCATCCCTTTTCACAAGCCTTTGCATTTGCAACTCTTTCTGTCTAGAAGAGTCTTCACAACCCATGACTACGGCATACTTATTCTTGAAGCTTCTGCTTCAATGTTAATTCCTCTCGGAAGCCTTTTCTGACCACACCAAACTAGGTTGGAACCTTATTATTCAGTATACAATACCCCATGCTTCTTCTGTTTCACTTTGCAATATTGTAACAAATAATAATTAATTAATTAACAGTGCAATGGTGGAATATCTGTCTGTGTCCTAAGTTCTAATCTCTGTGCCAAAGGAACCATATCTATCTTATTTATTACTAGATTATAAACTTAATATTTGATACATAGCAGATAGTATATATTTGCTGAATTGATAAATAAAATTGTGGGGGTCTCCATGGAGATGTTTCCCAGGTAATATTTCTAGCAGATGAGGAAGTCATTGAAAAGTGGCAGTCAGATTCATTGTTATCTATCTTCTGACAATACAGTAAATGTCCTAGAGTAGATGAAAGTAGATAATGGTTTTTATTACTGGAGAATAGGAAATAACTTGAGTTAATTGAAGCAGATGGGCCATGAACAATGCTTCAGAAATAAAATAGAGCTTCTGATCTTTGGTGATCAAGAAATATTACCAAGTTATATATGCAACACACTTCAGCCCCACATCAAGATCAAATTGTTTCCAATAATTAATGCAAATCATTACATCCTTCTTTTTTTCCACAGTGTCTGAATCCTCTATGCCATCTTGGGAAGCAAGCTAACACACCTCCTTTCCCTTCTTTATTTTTTCTTCTTCTGTTTAGTTGCTTTTATTTTCCATGACAAATCCCAAATTAGGTATGACTGAATATTAAGAAAAATTTTCTTTCATCAAGGCTGATATCCACACTATGATCCACAACCAAAACTGTGACTTCCCTATACTGTGTAAACAATGAGCGACTGTTTTGTAATTATGCTAGGCCCAAAAACAAGCTTAATAGAAAAAAATGCAAATAGCTGAGAAAATGCTCCTCAATACCCAGAACAGATAAGAAAAAAAATCTATATTTTATAGCATGCTATTATTTCCAAAGCCTTTTGGCATTCCCTTTCTCTTGATCCTGGCTGAAGATCTCTTGACCTTTATCCATAGCAAGACAGAAATTTTTACTGATGAGAAAACTGAAGTGGAGCATTTCTGGCTCAAGATCATAGAGCCAATAAAGAAAGTACTAGAATCTAAATCTACCTTTTTCTCCCTCAGTATGTCTTTGTAATTATGAAATCTGGTTCATGTGTTAAGGGGATGAGACAAAAGCCCAGAGTAGGATTTGCAGAAACTTCTGGATTGATGGAGCTAAAGAGTTAATCTGCTTGGGAAACCCTCATCCTGTTGAAAACTTTCTTCAGAGCCTCCTTCACTTCTTTGTTTCTCAGGCTATAGATCACTGGATTTAGCATGGGGATCACCGCAGTATAAAATATTGACACAATCTTGTCTTCCTCAAGGGATGTGCCCATGTTGCCTTTCAGGTATATGAAAATGAGTGTCCCAAAGAAGAGAGCCACTGCAGTCATGTGAGAAGCACAGGTGGAGAAGGTCTTGGCTTTGCCACCTGCTGTACGAATCCTCAGAATGGCCTGAATGATGAGTAAGTAGGATATAAGAATCACTGAAATGCTGGTTGTGATGACCAGAAAAGCTAAGAGGTAGATTACCCACTCCCTTGGCCTGGTTTCACTACAGGCAAGCTTCAGCAGGGGTGGGAGGTCACAGAAAAAGAAGTCTACATGATTGGACTTACAGAAAGAGATAGAGAAGGTACATCCAGTCCGGATTACAGAATTGACCATGGCACCAGCATATGCCCCAGCCACCAGCCCCAGGCAGGTCTGTGGTGTCATGGCTGTGGCATAGAGGAGGGGCTTACACACAGCCATGTAGCGGTCATAGGCCATCACAGCCAAAAGGAAACACTCAGTGCTAGCACAGAGTGTGAAAAAGAAGAATTGGCTGGCACAGCGCTCATAGGTGATGACCATCTTATCAGTCCCCAAAGTCTCAAGCAACTGAGGAACAATAACAAAAGAGTAGCAAATGTCCAGGAAGGAAAGGTGACTGAGGAAGAAGTACATGGGAGTCTGGAGCCGAAGGTCACTCTGAATTAGCACAATCATGCCCAGGTTGCCCCCCATGGTGATGAGAAAAATGGCCAGAAACACAAAGAAGAGACCTATCTGTAGCTCTGCCTGCAACCGGAACCCCATCAGAACAAATTCTGTCACCATGGTGCCATTCTCTGCCATGAAGCCAACGTTATCCACTGAAATTAAAAAATAATAATAAAGTCTCATTGAAGATACATTGAGGTGGTAATAGCATGACTTGATCATTGCTCAGCAATGATAATAATTTTTTAGATCTGTAAAGCACTTTATATTTTCACAAACTGTATTTTACTTGATTCTTCAGAAATCCTTGGAAACATATATTGTTTTTAATTTTCTTTATTTTATTTTTAAGTTCTGGGGTACATGTACAGGATGTCCAAGTTTGTTACATAGGTAAATGTGTGTTATGGTGGTTTGTGGCACCTATCAACCCATTACCTAAGTATTAAGCCCAGCATGCATTAATTAGCTCTTTTTCCTAATCCTCTTCCCACCTCCCGCCCTCCCTCAACAGGCCCCAGCATGTGTTGTTCCCCTCCCTGTGTCCATGTGTTCGCATTGTTCAGCTCCCACTCTAAGTGAGAACATGCAGTGTTTGGTTTTCTGTTCCTGTGCGAAACACATATTGTTAACCCCATTTTTTACAGAAGAATTTGAGGGTCAAAGAAGTGAAGTGACCCAGATTTCACAATTAGTAAACAGGCAAATATTCCTAGGTTAGACCTCAGTTCCTTGGGCATTTCCAAAACTTCTGACAGGTCCCAAATTGGAAACCTTAATCAGCCTCACATGGAGGAAGAAAGAGCACTTTGTTGGAAAACCCCTAGTGGTATAGTATAAAAGACATTGGCTTTGAAGTAAGGTGTAGGTTTGAATACCTTCAGCCCTTGAGCAAGTTAATTAACCTTTCTGAACCTCAGCCTCCTTCTTGGTTAAATGAGGATTACACTGCCAAAGTCATAATATTATTGTGTAGGACATAAATTTCATAGTATGTTGCACATAATCTGACACACACTTAGAATTTTTTTTTTCTAAATTCTGAGATAATATGAGTGGCATGGTCTTTGGTTCACGTACATTCTAGAATCATCTCATCTCCAAGTCAACAGCCACCTGGAGTTCCAGCATCAACTCTACCTTTTTTTAGGGTTGTTTCCAATGTGCATATGTGCACAATGGATTTGTATGCCAGACAGTGAGCCATAAGGAACAAGCACTGTTAGGACCTCTGTAGCCCACTGCCTGCCAAGCCGCCTCTTCCTCTCTGTTCCTGCCAAGCAGCACAGCCTGGTTTCCAAGTTCTCCTCTTATTCCAAAGGATCTGTCCTCATTTTTTTAATGCCACATCATTATCAATCAGTGAGCTAATGAATCAAGCTCTTCCAGAATTAGCCTGAAAAACTCATTAACAGACAAAGCCATCACACTGAGTTTTGAATTCTAATACAGATGGGGTTCTTGCCAGGTGTTGGAAAAATACTATCTCTGTGCCTTTGAACACTGATAATTTAGAATAATGAACATAGTGAATGTGGACTTCAGTGGTGATTCTTCTTGTCCTCTTTCTATCCTTGAAACAAAAAGTGAATTTGAAAAAGATCTCACAGGACATTAGGTAAATAATAAAGCCAAACCTTGATCAATGTTTGGCAAAAGCTGATCTAATGATGGAATAATGTTTAGCATCTGGTGGGAGTTTCTTCCCCCCACTGAATTCTTGAGAGTGTAAACATTTAGGTTGTTTGCCTCTACTTAAGGCCAAACCTTATCCCTATCTTCTCCCAAAACAATGATTCACCATGTTCTTAAGAGGAGTTCATGCAAATCATCCTGGCCAAAGGAAAAAAGAGTCTGTATCCATCTGTTTATTGCTTTTAACAAAACAAAGGTTCCTGCCTTCATGGGGTGGTCATTCTAATGGAGCCTGGCATATATATGTTCAAAAAAGAATATATTCTTCTACCATGATAGAAGTTAATAAGTTCTATAGAAAAAATGCTTAAAAATATCAAGGGAAGAAGATATTAAGACCATCAAAAAGACTCATTGAAAAGATGACATTTTAGCAGAAAATCTGGGAATCAGGTAACTATTTGTATGTACTTACATACGTCACTTAGCCACAACTAAAAGGAAATAAAGACATAAACCACCAACGATGGACCACCTGCTCCCATTACAAAATATATGGAGGTTTTCAGGTCTTTGGGAGACATGTTCCAGGCAACACTGATCAGAAGTGTTGGCCTCCTGGTAACAGAGAGAAGCCCCTAAGATGCTAGAGGCTCAATAATCAACCTAAGCTCACCTGGCACAAAGGTAAGTCTGGAATCCCACAAACATACACAGTGGCTAAGAAAATGAGCCCCGAAGACAGAGTTTGTTCCAAACTCAGACTCAGGCACTTCTGTTTGTGTGACTTTGTACAAGTCCTTGTACAAGACCTCAAGTCTCAGTGTCAACATCTAGGCACTGACAATAACAGCTGCACATGTACCTCTGAACTTAAAATAAAAGTTGAAGAAAAAAAATGTCCTGTATTTAGGATTATCCTCCTTTTGTGCAATATTGTTTATTTGTGCTAGAGATTTGCCCCCTTAGTTTTTCTGATGGGCCAGACTTTGGTTTTGTTAATATTTGCTGTTTTTTTCATTTTCTGTTTACACTTTCTTTCTTTTTCCTTTTCCCTTTTCCTTTCTCCCTTCCTCCCACCCCCCAATCTTCCCAGGGCCCCACCCCTGCTTTGTCTTTCTGACTCCCCTCCTTCTTTAGCTTACTCTATTGCAAATTGAATTTGTTTTGGTTCCTTCTTGTAGCTTAGAAAATATAACACATATAACAGAGGTTGGGGGTGAAATGGGGACATGGTGGTCAAAGGGTACAAAGTTTCTCTTAGGAAGAATAAATCCTTGAAATCTATGGTACAGCATGGTGACTATAGTTATTAATAATGTATATTTCAAAATTGTTAAGAGTACATTTTAAATGTCTCACCACAAAAAAAGGTTAAGTGAGATGATAGATATGCCAATTAGCTTGTTCAATCATTCCAAATTTTACACATTTATAAAAACATCACATTGTATTGCAGAAATATATTCAATTTTTATTTGTCAATTAAAATAATAAAAATACATGTATGACTGTAAAAAATAATAGCACTGCTCTGCTATGAGAAGAAAAAAATATAATTTAAATTGATAGAAACCACATACTCTGTGCCTAGTAACATTCAGATGTTACTTTTTATATTTTTATCACAGAGTAAACATTCAAACATTAATCAAGATTTTGCTTTATTATTTATCTAACATCCTATAAGATGTTTTTCAACTTCAGTTTTTGTTCCAAGGATTGAAAGGGGACAAGAAATTGTTACAAAAAGTATATGTCAAACACTAGGCTTTTAAGTTGCTCCCAAGTTTAATTTAATCCCACTTTTTGGCTCACTAAAGTAAGACTCAAAGTGGGTAAGCTACTTTCCCAGGGTCAGTCAATAAATGGCACCAGTTCTTCCAGCTCCAAATTCACTGTCCTTAACATTAACTTACACTGCAATCATCACTTTGGCCTGGGAACTGGGATGCCCCTGCCCAGCCTCAGGCAGCCCCAGCTGGGGAGGCACAAGTCAGGAGACCCATTTCATTCCACAACTGCCCTATGAGACACTCTTAGGTCTCTGCTCTGGGAAAAGAGGAGGGAGCATTTTCCTTTGTGGTGGGGGGGGTGGGGGGGAGTGACATGGTCAGAGAATGGCAGTTGACCACGATGAGCCAGAGAGAGCATGTGCTAGGAGGGCTAGAAACAGCACCAGGAGGTCTGGATTCAAGTGTGGGTGCTGCCACTAACACCCTCTTGTTGTGCACCCTCATATACAAAGATGGCACTGAAAGACCTCAAATGATGCATCCTTTACTATTGCCTCTCTTCTCCCTTAAATGTCTAATGACAGAGGAAAAGAATATCTATGAGTATTAATGACTGACATTCACTATGTGCTAAATACTATTCTAGGTATTTTATATAAACTGCCTCATATACTTCTCACAATACCCCAACACAGGACATATTTTTACTATCCCTATTTATAGACTGTGAAATGGGGGCTTGCAGAGATTAAGAAACTTGGTTTAGGTAATTCCTCTGCAGGGATTTGAACTATGTATGTATGTATGTCAGCCTCCAGGGTCATGTACCCAGCCACTGTCTCATGACTCATGATTACAGTAATGATGAGTTATTAATAATGCCCTGCAGTGAGCACTTTTCCATGCCCAGGACTTTTCTAGTGGCTTTACGTATATTTTCCTCTTACACTTGGGCAAGGAGGAAAGTAATATATGTTAATAAAGACTTTGGCAAATGACCACAATTCTGAGTTGGAAACACTGCCATGTTCTCCTTTTGTAGCGTCATTTTTATTCTTTGTGTCTTATCTGTAGGGATGAGTGGGTAGGAGAGATGCTCAAGGGTCTCATCAGAATCAAACTGTAACAAGGAGCCTGCATCCCCTGAGGGCCATCATCTCCAGCACAGATTTAGGCTGCAGGACAGAAGCCACGTGAACCAACCTTGCTTCCAGCTTCTCATTACTGTCTGCCCACCTGTACTTCCCCTTTGCCCAAATCTCAGTCCTCATTTTTAATTTATTTTGTCTTCCTACATGTTAAGCACTTTTATAAGCCACTTTAAATCTCTTTTGGAAAGAGGTATTGATGAATAAATAAATACAAAATAAAATCGCCCATTTGCCAGATGTCAGAATAATCAGCCCTCTCTGCATCAGACCAATAACAGTGCCGCCAGAGGACTTTGCCAAATGGGTTCTGGAAAGACAGTGGTTCAATCTAAATCAAACTCATCTATGGATGGCAGAAAAGGCAGATGCTCAGGGGAGAAAATGGAAACACTTAGGGAGGTCTCCAGGTCTGTGCTACTGCAGTCAGCTCCTGAAGTCTTTGTAAATCCAAATTCCAAAATCATGACCTAGGCTTTCTTTTTGAGACAGTGAACAGCCTGGAGGGGGATTGGAAGAGGGTCTTCTAACTCACAGTCCACTTTAATGAGATCCTTCTGAGCTTCAACTCTGTCCATTTTGCAATGGGCAGAGGAATATTTTAAGGACCAAGGTTGCCCAATGATTGCTTATCTTCAGAGGACCTAAAAAGTTTTGTTCTCTCCAAAACCAGTTCCACCTTGCCATGTGATACATTGCCTAAATTCCTAAACTGGTCACGAATGATTTCTCATTCTAGATAGAACCTCCAATCAATTTGTTAGTGATTAAGATTAGGGAAAACAAACAGTATCTCCTTAAGATTTCCAGGCAGGGAGAGGAACCATGAATTCGTTTCACCTCAGAGGAAAAGATTTGATCCCGGGTGATTTAGATCAGCGGAGTTGCTGGGAAAGTGAATGGAACTCTGAAGCAACAGTTTTGAAATATTTGAAACTG